TATAGAATGTACCGATGTGTTTCTTTATGCAGCACCAATTTTTAATGCATATATTTCTGCAATATATTTGATATGGTATGAGAGCTGTAAAACAAATTCAGGTTTCCAGTTAGGTGAGAGCCATTGTAATCGGGAGTGTGCTGACTTTCAAATATCGCATAAGCAGAAACAGTCTTTTTTAGTTTATTAGGTGGCCCAATGTGAAGGATATAACTACATGTTTTAGTCTTCTAGTCTTATCTTAACTTTTTAACTTTCTGACTTAACTTGGGCAAACCTCTGGCCTTATAGCAGGCAGTGGTAAATCCAAATGACTTTAAAGTTTCTTTTAATTATAATATTCTATAATTTTAAGATATGTTCCTTTATTTGTGCTTGTGTTTCTCTTACCTGTAATATGCGTCAGATGCCATTTGGTCACGGGAGAGGAAGTTATGAAGAGTAATGAGTAGAATGTTCTATTTCCCAGAATTTTAGGTGGTTCATTAACAATTATGAAGCAGCTTCTGATGGCCTGAAATCTGGAATTCATCATTATAACACCTTGATTTTTAATTCCCCCTCTAAAACAAATTTTAAGGCTTACTTTTCATATGATAATCTTTTGTATAGATACCTCTATATGTCCCTTCCTCTTTCTGTATTTATTTTGTATCCAAGAGGATGGAAGTGATGCACTTATGTAGAATTCTTCAGAAAATATTTTGAGTAGAATTTATGACCATGTGTATTCTTTGTTTTCTTTCCCTGGTGGAGGTGCAGGATGAGTATTCATTTAGGCTTTAAGCTATCTTTTGAACCTGAACACTTAGTAAACATTGGTGCATTGAGTGCCCATTTTTATTATAGGTGAATCTCGGAGGAGCCCAGTGAACAAGCAGAATCTGTCTTCACAGTCACAGTCAGTTGTCTCTTGAGTCCATTTGCATTGTAAGAAGCAGTTAGTGCTGTACATTGTTTGGAATGTGCTGCAGTATAAATAGAAGAAACATGGTGATCATCAGAGACTGGAAACTGGTCCAATTGCATTTATCTTTGGAGAACATGAGGCATCTGCATGCATGTTTTAGAAAATCAGTTTTGCAGATTTTTTATTACATTTTTGTTTTTTAATTTCTATTACAGTGCAGCTTATGATGCCATTCTTGAAAGAAATGTTGCAATCAAGAAGCTAAGCCGGCCATTTCAGAATCAAACCCATGCTAAGCGGGCTTACAGAGAGCTGGTTCTTATGAAATGTGTTAATCACAAAAATGTAAGTGGGACATTTTAGAAAGTTTCTTAAGTGTAGATGAAATAAAGATTTGTTCATGAATGTATGAATATCAAAAACTTTAAAAATAGTAGATGTTTTGAATTGTTCTTCTGGATTGAAGCATTGTTTAAAAGGTTTATATTTCACCCTGGCCAGTGTGGCTCAGTTGGTTGGAGCGTCATCCCGATCAGGGCACATACCCAGGTTGCAGGTTCGATACCTGGTCAGCCTCATGTTAGGAGAGGCAGCCTATGAAGTTTCTCTTTCTCCCTCTCTAGCTCTAAAATCAATAAAAAATAAATAAAATGATAAATATATTTAAAGAAATAGAAGGTGTATATATCTATAGTGTGAATTTTTTTATATACTTTTTTTGATTTTTTTATTGCTTAAAGTATTACAAAGGGTATTACATATGTGTCCATTTCCCCCCCCTCCCCCCGCCCTTGACAGTCCCCTAGCCTCCCCTATCCCCCAGTGTCTTATGTCCATTGGTTATGCTTATATGCATGCATACAAGTCCTTTGGTGTGAATTTTTTCTCAACTTCACTATATTAAAAGAAAAACAGCTTCTGAAATTCAGATTGTGTACTTTTCTGACATGAGCAAAAGGACTTTGAAAGAGGCAGGTGTTTTCGAAGGACTCTATTTAGGCTTCATCCCCTCTTCACTTTAGTTTGTGTCAGCTGCCAGGTCAGGAAACATTCTGTTGCACATGGACACTGGAGCTTTGTTTACTGACACTGGGTGTAGCCTCAGACCATTTCCCCATCCACTGTCTTCTCTGTAGGTAATGCCATTCTCACTGGTCACCTCATGGTGAGGATAGCCAGTGAGCAGAAAAACATTCTGATTCTATTTCCTAATGATTATAAGGACTTAAACATACAACTTTCACTCATGTTGAGAACAAATAGTTACACTTTTTAAAGCATACATTAAGCATACTGATATTTTATAATTTTTTTAATAGAGTGATGTCTCCATGTTGAGAGGAAATAAACTGGGATTGAATTGTGCAAGGAACATTTTTATGAATGACTAAACCTAAAGTACCTGACCGGAGATGTTCTGTGGTGTTTCTCCGAAGGAGTTTATAAAATGTAGTCAGCTCAGCACATTCTGGTTGCAGACAACACAGTTTACTCCATTTTAAGAGTTAACTGTGTGCAAGCCTCTGTGTCACCAAGGGGAAGTTTCATGGAAGTTAAAATTTAGGCTCCTTATTTGGGGGTTTACAGTGTTAATTTGAAGACAAAACAAATGCATGAGGAGTTAAAGACCTAACAATAAATTTTAACTGTCAAAGTTTAATAGAAGTTTAATTGTGAAATCATGTGGATGAAAAATAAACAAATGCTGAGATTTCAGGAGAGGAAATTGCTGAGCCTTAAGGAAATGGAAAGGCTTTGGGGAAGAGTGGACCTAGATAATCTATATGTATAAAAGCCTAATATGCAAATTGCCCCTGCGGGAGTTCGATTGGGAGACCGTTTGCTTGCTATGACATGTGCTGACCACCAGGGGGCGGTGCAGAATGAAGGAAGGCCCTGGCCAGCACCCCAGGAAGGGAGGCCCCGGCCAGCAGCCAGAAGGCCCCAATCGGTCCTAATCGCTGGCTAGGCCTAGGGACCCTACCCGTGCACGAATTTCATGCACCAGGCCTCGAGTTCTTAAATAATGGGTGAAAATTGGATTGTTGGAGGAAGTGGACCTCCCAGAGAGGAAAATTAGCATTTAAGAAAAGGCACAGAGGTGAAGATTAAGGTCAGTGATAGGGAAGTTGTGTCAGCCAGTCTTGTTCTAGGTGGGAGCCAGGCATGTTGCTGGTGGCCTCCTGCACTCAGAGCTGCTTGTGTCCCTGGTAGCCTGTTTCCTGACGGAGGTGGTGTCATTGTCTTAGTTTTGTATTGAGGAGATGGCCGGCTTCTCTTTACCTTGAGCCTGGCAACTGCACAGAAAGATGGCTCCGTCAACTAAAGGAAGGGCATGCAAAGTTGGTTGCACATGGTTAATCCTGTAGTGGGGGTAGTGCAGATCCATCCTTGCCACCTAGAACAGTGCTGCCACAGAGGAGGTGCTGAACGTATTTGTTCAGTGAACAAATGTTAAGTAAAGATAGGGAGTCCTGGCCAGGTCGTTCGGTAGAGTGTTGTCCCGTACACTGTAAGATTGCAGGTTCAATTCCCAGTCAGGGCACAAATGGGAGGCAACTAATTGATATTTCTTTCTCACATAGATGTTTCTCTGTCTTCCCTTCCTCTCTCTCTAAAGAAAAACAAAACAAAACAATAAAAACATATCCCCAGGTGAGGATTTAAAAAAAGTAAATTAAAGGAAACAGGAATGGTAATGGAATTTTTTTACTCTCTGATGGGTGGATGTTTTGCCTTTTCAACATTTTCATGTTCTGCACAAATCATCTCTATTGTTCTCAACCTCTCTGGCTTTCCCGAGTCACTTCTTTAGTTTTTTTTGTTTGTTTGTTTTTAGTGTGGTAAAATACATATAACATGAAACCTAGCATCTTACCCATTTTTAAGTGGTATTAACTACATTCATGTGATTATGCATTTCCCACTCTTTTCATAGATGGTTTTGAGTTTCTTTTTTTTTTTAGAATTGAGTTTCTTTTTCACTTATCTTTGAACACACTTTTACCTAGAGTACAGCACTGCATGCCTGGATGCACCCTCCAAGAGGAATGGGCATGTCATTTTCTCTTCACTGTGGACATCATACCCCCCTGTGCGGAAGCCACTCACCACGTAACTTACATTGGCTAAACAAGTTACTCTTTATTACAGGACTGCTAACACATCACATCTCCTGTTTTTTACTTTTCCTTTTTTCTGTGTTTGGTTTTTGTTTGTTTGTTTGTTTTGGAGAATAAGTCTAGTAGTTTCTGTTTGTCCCTATTAAATTTCCCCTGTGAAATCTGGCTCTGCCTGCACTGCGGGACTTGCTTGCTTTGTTCACACCTTTACTTGGCTTCGTCTCCCCATTCTGCTCAGGAGGCCTTCCTGGTCCCTGGTTAATTCATTAGCAGCCTTGGGTCTGCTGAGAAAATTACATGTCTAACTAAAAATCACCTAGCTCTCCCCAATTCTTTATCTTATCTACATGGGAATTATTATTGGGGACATTTTTTAAAAATGCCTTTTTTAAATCTTCATATAATATATCAAGATGCATTTCTCTGATTTACTACTGTGGTCCTTTGTTACTGTGTTTTTATTCACAAAAGAAGATAAAGTCTCTAATGAATTTCACCTGCTCCTGCTCCAGTTACTTCCCTCACAGTAGTCATATGCCACACACTCCATCAGTCCTTGACTTTGTTTGACTGTCTAGTTTATGATTGATATAATCTCCCTTTTGAAAAATCAGAGAACTGTTTCAGTCCTTTTTTGTAACATCTTTACTGAGATACAGTTTATATAGCGTACTGCTCATCCGTTTAATCTGAATAAGTTAGTGGTTTTTAGTTTACTCACTGATGTGTGTGACTTTTCCTTACCTCAAAAAGAAACCGTATGTCCTATGGCTCTCATTTCCCCATTTCTACCCCCTCAGCTGTGAACAAACACTGGTCCCCTTTCTGTCTCTGTATTCCTTTCATCTTTAACACCTCTCGTCCACTCTAGGATTTCCCAGATCTTAGTAAGAGCAGTGTTAGTATTTGTCCAAGTCTCCAAGTATGCAGTTCAACTGGTTAGGAGCATTGAGTTCATTTAGAGCAGCTAAATGTTTCCTATCAGCACCTCCCCCTATCATAAATATGTTTTACCCTTTCTGGTTTGAAAATTTTCTGAATTTATTTACTGAACAAATATTTTAACGCCTTCATTAAGCAAAGCTTTATGCTGAGATGAGTAACATAGATTCTGCCCTAATAATAATAAGTTTATGCCTAGACGAACATTCTTGCCCCTAAGTATAATTGTCAGCAAACATTTTTAAAATGTATGCCAGGTGTCTTTCTCTGTGCCAGGCCTATAAAGGGAATAAGGCTCAGCTCTTTCTAACAAGGATCCTGGTGTGGCTGGGACAAGGCTGTTGTGAAAATAAGACTACACAACAGTGTGTTAAGTGCCATAATAACATGAAAGACACTATGGGGACAAAGTAGAGAGGAAATCCAGCTCTCTCAAGGACAAGGGGTTGTCAGACTCTACAAAAAGAGGTCTATCTTGAAGGTAACAAAGTTCAGTAGGTAAATGACAAGCATATGAAGCAGTATGTTTAAAGGCATTTAAAGTTTTTAAAATGGTTACTTTAGTATGGCCAAAGTATCAAGTTAGGGAACCTAGTGTTAGTCATTATATGAATTATGATATTAGAGTCCTCGGCCTGTGTAGTAGCACAAAGAATGAAAAGAAGAGGCTGAAGTTCAGACTGACAATGCAATGGATAACATTGTTTAAAGTATTTATTACAGTGCAAATATTGAAAAACGAGTAAAACAAAATCCCTCTGAATCTTCTATTGTAAAAGAGAAGGCACTCTGGAAAAGTACGGAGTTCAAGTACAAATAACGAGTTCAATTTTATATTATTTGTGAGACTTCCTTGTGAAGTTGCGAGGTATATCTGAGACTCATGAGCTAAGCAAGGACTCTTAGTTCATATTTGGAAATTACCCACATAGAGATGTTTGGAGAAAATGCCATAGGTAATGTCACTCTGGGAAAGGTACAGATAGAGAAAAGAGGCGGATAGAAGAACAGTGGGAAAGAAGCCTGCCGGAGGACAGGCCAGTGGAATATGCTGGGACTGAGTGTAGCTGGGAAGGTGCAGAATTCTGAAAAACTTGGGGGCAAAGGCTGAGATTATATAGAGGTTCTGAGTTGGCTATAAACGAACATAAGAGATTTCAGATTTGCCTTCAATTCATGTTGAGGATTGTATAGCATAGTGTTCGTTTTGGAATGCATTATGTGGAGGTCTTCTGTTATAATTTTTTAAAGACTTGTTTTTTCAAGAAAGTTTTCAGCTCATAGCAAAATTGAGTGGAAGGTACAAAAATTTTCCATATAGTTAGGTACAGTTGTTACAAGCAGTGAACCTACACTGACACATCCACATCACCCAAAAAAAGCCCGGAGCTTACATTGGGGTTCACTCTTGGTGTTATACATTCTGTGGGTTTGGACAGATGTATAATGACATGTGTCCACCTTTATTGTATCACACAGTATTTTTACTGCCCTGAAGCTCCTCTGTGTTCTGGCTCCCTCTCTATCCCCAGCCCCTGGCCGTAAAGTTTTAATTACACAAAAGAAAAGAAATTACTTGAGCTTAGAAAATAAGATTTAGAAAATTTTAAACTGGATTTTTTTAACGCGTGTAGCAATTTCTAATTTTTTAATCTCTCTGCTTTTGCTGCAGATAATTGGCCTTTTGAATGTTTTCACACCACAGAAATCACTAGAAGAATTTCAAGATGTGTAAGTGTGATAATTAAAATTTTATGTTAGTGCCTTATTCTTAGATTGTTGCTGTACACTTTAGCTGTCATCTTTTTTCACCCATGAAGTTACATAGTCATGGAGCTCATGGATGCAAATCTTTGCCAAGTGATTCAGATGGAACTAGATCATGAAAGAATGTCCTACCTTCTCTATCAGATGCTGTGTGGAATCAAGCACCTTCACTCCGCTGGAATTATTCATCGGGTTAGTAGAAACTACTATCATCATAATCTGTTTTTTATCCATTGAGGTGAAATTCATGTAACATAAGAGTAATCATCTTAAAGTGTACAATTCAGTGACATTTAGTACAGTCACAAAACAGGAAGCCACCATCCATATCAATTGCTCCAAAAGAAAACCTCATACCCATGAAGTAGTCACTCCTCATTCCCTCTTTCCCAGCCCCAGGCATCATACCAGTCTGCTTTCTGTGACTATACACTTACCTCTTCTGGATTTTATATGCTTGGAATCGTACAATGATGTGACCTTTGTGTCCAGCTTCTTTGACTTAGCATAACCTTTTCAAGGTTATCCATGTTGTAGCATGTATCAGTAGTTCATTCTTTTTTATGACTAATACTAGGGGCCCGGTGCACGAAATTCGTGCACTTGGTGTGTGTCGGGGAGGAGTGTCCCTCAGCCCAGCCTGCCCCCTCTCACATACTGGGAGCCCTCAGGCGTTGACCCCCATCACCCTCCAATCGCAGGATCGGCCCCTT